TCGTAGGACAATAAAAGTCCTGCATTTTAGGGTTTTATAATGCCCTCAAAGGTAGACCAGAAATATAGTCTTTCGTGATGTGAAAGCAGTCGGACAGAGTTGTAACCGGTGGAGAACATTGTTGAAGACCGAATAAAGAGGATGATGAATAGACTTCTGTAGTTTGTTTTGTGTGGATTGCAGCATTATTTGAATTAAGGGTACTAATGGGGTCTGATTAACTGCCTCTTTCTCTCGAGCCAACTCTAGAACCTTACTTACCTTACCAATCAGGCTAAGGCCTTGTTGTCCTATGCTGTCCGAAGAAATCGTCTCCACTCAACTCGATTCATGGCCACACTTCGCCAGGCTCGTAGCTGGTGCAATTCGTGGTTCATTCGCCTCCTCCACGTTCCGTCATCCATCTGCATTCCACCGTAGATGGTACGCAACACCTTCCGTTCGTAAACACCACGAGCATAGTCCACGTTCTCCACGAGCATAGTCCAGGTCTCGTGGCCGTAGAGGACCACCGGTCTAATCAGCGGCTTTTGGACAGTCAACTTCGTGCGGCAGCGAATTTTATTCGACCGGAGTGTCCTCCGGAGACCAAAGTACGCATGATTCCCTGCCATAATGCGTCTTTGAATTTCTCGGCGGACACCAGTGAGCCCAAATACACGAACTCATCGACCACCTCGAGTTCGTCACCGTCAATCTGAACTCGGGATGGGAGGCTAACATTGTCTTCCCTAGAACCTCTTCCTTTCATGTATTTTGTCTTTGATGCGTTGATGGCAAGTTCAATCCGCGTAGCTTCAGCCTTCAGTCTGATGTACGTTTCCGTCATCGTCTAAAAGTTCAGTGCAATGATGTCGATGTCATCGGCGAAGCCAAGAGGCTGCTGCTAGGCACACCCTAGCAGCACACTTGTCACTGAGTAGTCGTGCATTCATTTACATTCATTTACCTCTAACTTTTTTTTTCAACAGCATTCCGCAAAATGATGCATGGAGCTTTTGAAGGTTTTGTTATTAGCTACAACTCTTGTTAACAAGTCAAATCCGTATCTCTTATGCATGACGAACCAGAGCGAACAGAAGCCACTACTGTTTTTCAGTGAATGTATTTTACATTCACTGAAAACAGTAACAAGTTCTGCCCGCTCTAGTTCGTGATGCATAAGAGATACAGATTTGAGTTATAAGCAAAAGTTGTAGCAAATAACAAAACCTACAAAAGCTCCATACATCATTTTGCGAAATGCTGTCGATGAAAAAAGCAAGAGGCAAATGAATGTAAACGAACTCTCTTGCAAATGGTGACAGGCGGTGGCATAGAATTTGGGAGAGTACATAGTAGGCGGCGCTCAGCAGTGTGATCGCGCGGTAGTTGCAGCAATCTAACTTGTCGCCCTTTTTGTAGATTGGGCATACGACACCTTCCATCCACTCCTTCGGTTATATCTCCTCCTCCCAAATCTTGGCAATTACCCAGTGCAGTGCTGGTGTTGAATGGAAACTACTATATGCGATTTACTCAAATTTGGGTTATTGGGCTTAACCAACAATCAATACGAAACTAACGATTTTAAATTGGCTCACTAATTGACTAGCCTATTGGTTCCAAGCAAATCGATTGACGTACTCCATTCTAGTTGAAATCCTAGTTGGTTTTGATTCGCTATGAAAGTTTGACAGATAAAATGAGGGTGTCCGCGCAACGGAATCCTCTTCGGTAGCTCCCACGCCTGGCAACGGCGGAGTGGAATGATTTGGGGTAGGTCACTGGTTCTGGTTCACGATGAGAAAGTTCTAAACTCTAGCCTTGACAAAGGCTGTTTGGTTGGCTTCGGTCGGAGGGAGAAAATGAAGTCGACTTCACTGCGTTGCTTTGAAAGGTTGTATTTGACGTGTAGATGAGACAATAGTTTGGTTTGAACTAACTACTTGGCCGGGATGCTGGTGGTATTTATATCTGTTGGTTGTGTGATGTGTGGTACAATAAACTTTGTGTGGGTTTTTCGTCTGGTGAATTGTATCCTGTGCTAACTGTTCGCGTTGTTCGCGACAGAGGGGTTTGTGGATTTTCCTATGTTTCGAGGGGTGCATCGATTAGCTTGGGACCGAAGAGAGTACCAGAGCTGAGCCAAAAAGTTGAGCTCGTTTCTTCGGGACCTTCTGGCCTTAAAGTTACCTCTATGGCTTAACCCCGGAATTGAGGGAAAAGTACTTAATTTTGGGTAGTTTTTCATCTCCGTGTAGAATGGGGTACGTTAATCGTTTGCTTGGGACCAATATGCTAGTCATGTAGTGAGCCAATTTAAAATCGTTAGTTTCGTATTGATTGTACTGCTTCCACCTCTCAATCACCTCACACTCGTTCGTGAGAAGATTACCGTCCAAGTCCTTGCACACATCGGCTTGCGGCACTTAGCCTTTGCGCGAACTATTTAGCTTCCCGTAGAACTTCCGTGTGTCGTTTACGCAGTACAGATTTTCCACCGCCTCGCGATCTCGGTCTTCCTGCTGATGCTTCTTCCTTCGGAAAACCGAGTTTTGTCTGTTCCGCGCTTGTCTGTATCGCTCCACATTCAAACTCTAGAACCTACATTTTGTATTTAGATCTATAAGTGAACTGCTGGTCTGAGTTCCTCTGGTATATTCAATTAGAGGATGTTCCTGAATATACAGTCAAACAGCACGTAATGTTGTGAACAACTTCAATGACAGTTGTCCAGCAGTGCTCCCATTTATTTACAACAATCTAATGATTACAAGATTGTGCCGAAGGTGTGTCGAAGGTATGCCGATGAATGTGCCCAAGCTGTGCCGAATCTAATTTCGGCACAATGTGCTGAGTGACTTACCACTTGTTCCGAACAAGTTTGCTATTATTGCAAGAAGCCGGGGTATTTCAAACGGAATTGCCGCTTGCTTGCGAAGCAACAGAGTGAAGACAAACCAAGTGTCAAGCAGGCTATGAATGATGGAGGTGGTGTGTGTTTATGGTAGGCGGTGACTATACTGGTTCGTGGTTTATTGACTGTGGTGCCAGTTGCCATATGCCGAACGATGCCAATATCGATGAGAGTTGGTCCGAACGTTGTCCTAGCCGATAGCAAGGTTGCGGAAACTGCTGGATGTGATCGATGTGAGTGCTTTATGTTCCATCGTTAACGAGTGGCTTAATTTCCGTGGATCGATTGGCCTCCAAAGGATTCACGTCTGTTTACCGAGCGAAGGGCTGTGATATTCAAGATGGAACTGCTACAGTGCTGGTCGATGGTGAACGATCCGGTTGCTTGTACCGACTGAAGCAAGTGGAGATGTCGAAACAAGTTCAAGTGTACGGATACCCAGCTAACGTGCACATTCCCAATGTCGAACGGGGCAAGTTTAAAAGAAAGAAGCGAAAGTTATGGTTCCTAGAGCTGGATGACAGATAGTCTCAGGAGGAGGAGCAGTGAGCGGATTCCACGAATGGTGTTTTGTGTCAAAATCGGAGCAGCAGTTACTGGAGGAGAACGAAGAAGAAGAACTTGATGGTTTTGGTGAAGAATATTGCGATTAAGACGGAGACGAGAGTGAATCCGAAAACTATTTCGATGTGATGGATCCTGAATCCGAAGAAGATCCCCTGACTGTGAAGGAGGAGGAGCGGGACGAAGGTGTTCGGCGGTCCAGTCGCCCCAATCGCAGCACACTGCCGGGTCAACTGTTCGATTTCGTGGTAGGGATTACCGTACATTCGGTTGATGAGCCTACATCGTATGTGAAGGCCAGTCATTGAGGAAGAGTGATGGTATTTAACAATGAATTGTCCCTCACCTAACATATTTATTATCATCATTACTATAGATACTATAGATTCCATAGATAAGCGGAGGCACAAAAAGTTGTTTTGGCAACCATGAAAAATAAATGATCTTACTGGCATCCGTGAAAAAAATCATGCCATCATAGACCTCTTCGTTGTGCAGTTTTGTTTTGTTTCGTGCGTAAAAGCTCAAAATGAAGTGCAAAGTAAATCTTTGCAGCAGTGAGTCTAGGAATGGTTTGCTTTATCTTTCCTTCTTCCGTTGTCCGCGAAATAAATCGGAATGTGGAGTGTAGAAAGTGTTTTGTGCTCATAATATTACAATACTTCTCCCTCAAACAACACCATGATGACGTCATGCTCGTTTGGCTACACTAACTGACAGTTCGTTTGGCTACATTATACCTACTTTGCCTCCACTTATCTATGGAATCTATAGTATCTATAATCATCAGCTAAGAGAAAGAGGAGACTATACGGGGGGCGCAAACGAACCACTTTTCTGTCAAATGCGAACCTGCTCGAGGGGGACGACTCTATCTACGATGCAGGAAATATTGTGTTTTGATGTGGCTAGCTGCGCGTACGCTGAGTAGATAGAAAGAAGATTTATCACGATTTTGAAGATTTCCTGCAAAAAGATGATGCGCGATGCAAGTAGATGCGAGAAATGTAAGAAGATTTTTCGAAGATTTATTCGCTGTGAGATTTTTTGAGCATCTAGAATTGAGATTTAGATGTGTCGCCCCCCTCGAACCTGCTCGTGATTGGCCGATTTGAAGAGCGTAAGATAGAGATAGAGATAAAAGAGTAAGAAGCCAGTTGTCTCCTCTTCCTCTTAGATCATTACCATCTTTGTCAAACAGAACCAAGACGTGAATAAAAGTGTTTTTTATCCGTAAAAGTGTCCTTGTTTATTTATTTATTCTTCTGAAGTTCCCTAAGCGTATTTTTCACTGTGTGTTGTGTCACACAAAAATGCGTTTTTCCATCAGTGACGGTGAATCAGGGGCAGTGTATGTACCTTTGCATGTACGGAAACAACTAAAGCGAACCCGTATCAATAAATTGACACGAAGGGGAATTATTGACAGTCATATTGATGATGTGAATACATAATTATTGTCAATACCGATGTATTGACGTCAATATAGAATGTATTGACAATACGATTATTGTCAATAAAAGCAAACGTGTAGGGTTCACTTCAAATGTGCCAATATTGCTTGAACGCCTCGTTCGATCTCTGTCAATCTAAGTTCCATGGATTTACTCTTTCTGTTACGCTTACTTAAAATCTCCTTGGCATATTTCAATATTTTACCATCCATTCGGTAGACCGAAGGTAAGCTGCAGCATCGAAAGGGGAGCTTTTTCTTATGGCTACCTTCTACATCATCATTATTGCTCGATACTGAACTATGTATTTCGTTAGACGTATTGGGCGTTATTTTGACGATATGCAGCATATTTCTCGAGCTGAAAAAAAGAAAAATTTAGTCAGCTTTGAAATATGTTTAGGAAGTAGTAAGTCACTCACAGATATCCTATGATGTCCAATGTTTTCAACGCATTCTCGAACAAGTACGTTTGATAGATAACATCCACTTTTTGGGACAGTCCTATTAATTCAGCTTCAGCTTTGATCGCCTAAAAATCAATCACTTTTTAGAAAATGGAAGCATTCCATTAATACGTTACATACCACAATGTCACTAACGGCCAAACCATTGATCAGATTGAATATCACAATGGGAACAAAAAATATAAATAAAACAAATATAAGGTAACGGGAGCTGTTCGAATCAAATGTTATATCTGCAGCTCCAAATTCACCTGTAATGGGATATGAAAGTCATGAATTGAAAAGGGAAGATTCTTTAAATTATTCACTTACCTGTTAACATAACCAATGTTTTCAACAGAGAAGTTCCTATATCAGCGAATTGATTGAACTTGGAACTGTTGTCAATTTTTGCGGAAGAGTTTGTGTTCGTTTTGTTTTGATTGTTTTCTAGGGTACTAACATTGAATGATGTGTAGAAGCACATGGCGAAGGAAATCAGGATTGCACAATACAACACAATACATTTTATGAAATTTTTAGACACCGTCTTCAGCATCACCATGTGTGTGGATATAGATAGGATTGGTAACGTTCCTACCAGTACGGTAAATTCTACAGCAGACAATAGAATAACAACAGCAGATATAACTTCGTTTTTCAAAAAACCTAGAAGGAATGCGGCTGACGTAAGGATTAAGGCCATCTCCGTCCAGTTTGCCATTGACTTAAGGTACATCATTTTATATAGAATCATCTGTAGGATTTCTCTCACCAACATGTATGTAGTACAAATTAATGCTGTCCAAAATAACAACTTTTTGAGATAACCATCAACGGCGTCCGGTCTAGACCAACCTACCACATACCATGTTAATGATATGAATAATAGAGTACATATTAAGAAATTAAAGTAGAAGTAGCGAATCAGCTGTTGCCACTTTATCAGCACAAAACTAGATATAACGGGATGCTTCAGCAGATGTTTTAAATCGGATGATTTTGACATGTACACAATTGGTAACATTTCATCTGCGGAGCGGTTTACGGTGATAGTCGGTTCAGAATTCTGTTCAGACTTCGGCGGAACCAGACCAGAAAAATCAATTTTGATCTCATAATCATCATCTTCCGGTCGTTTCTCGTTGGTTGTTAAGCGTGAATCGAGAAAGGTTTCTAACGTTTCAGGACTGATGTCACAAATCGGCATTTCCTTGAACATGTTCTGTTTGCCAATGTATGCAGAATGTTCCAGCAGTAAATCCACTACCTCGTCAAATTTATATTTGACTGCGAAATGGAGTGCACTGAATCCCTTGCTATCTGCTGTATCGACTTTGATGCGTTTATCAGCCAGCAAGCACTTGACGCATTGTACAAAGGGACAATTGCCCTTATTTTTGGAGATTTTCATTTCTTTAATGGCCAATGACAGAAGTGGTTGTTTGTTGATCTGTTCGATATCATTTTCCGTGTTTCCGAGCTTTGACAGCAAATACTCTAGTATATCGCAGTTTCCGTAGCTACAACATGTGCCTAGAAGTGCTGACAGTTCCAAAGCTGAATCAGGGACGGAACCGTCTTCCACGAGTTTTTTCACCGAAGCTAACGTTCCAGACTTAACAGCAGTTTTCACTAGCTCTCTCATTTCTTGTTCCCATGCGCGTTTATCATTTTTATGTTTATCCTTATATAGCTTGACATCCACATCGAACTTTGCATCCCTGTCTGGCTTCAACGGCGATTTAAGTACGTCCCTATTTATCTCCATGGTGTAGGAGGGAATTTCAGTATCCGGGAAGTACTCATCTATTTTCTTACGAAGCTCTTCATTTCTGGACTTGTCTACATCTACTCTCGCATTTTTGAGGCAATATTCCAGTATTTCCTTTCGCCAAAACTCGGAATTCGTTTTCCAGTTTTTCGAGCTGATTACGAAGACACCAAGCGGTGTGCGGTTTTCTGCGTTAGGAATGTTGAAATCTGCTCCTTTTTCCAACAAAACTTTGATGCATTCAAAGTCGTTTTTCCAGTTCGAATCATCTATCTTCTCGAACAACATATGTAGAGGGGTTCGATTTTGATAGGTCTCGTCAATGTCAATCATCAAATTATTTAATAACGCTCGAATATTGTTGGGATCTCGCGATGATGTTGCGAAGTGAATTGGAAACATGCCATTATCGTTTTGCTAAAAGAGAAACAATGTTAATGCTTGTGGGTTCTGCAAGTTTTATAATTCTTCAATACACGACGTGTAAATATTAACATCAACTCAGGTAATCATAACATTTTGATCTTTGAAAACAACGCGAATGCAAAAAATTGATTACTGAAATGATTACTAAGTGCAGCGAAAAATTGTCAGCATTTGTGAATTGCTAAAAACAGTCTTACCATTTGCCCATCGGCGTCGTTTTTCAGGCATTCCGAAATAAATTGAGCACTACCGCTTCGCTTACAAACTTCTTCGAAAACTGTAAATCCAGTGTGATCGTTCCGACCATTCGGGTTAGCTCCCTTATTCAGAGCGCACTGAAATTTTTTGAAGTTTCCCTCGTCCAAACTAGTTGCAAGCGCTTGCTAAAAAGATAGGAATAACGATAATACTTTCGAGAGTCCAGTGTTGATAAAAATCATTTCTTCGACACTCAAACTAGCTGAAAATCGAGGCATCCTGGAAAGGTAAACCAATTACCTGCAAGAATTTGAAATTTGACAGCAGCGTTTTAATCTGAACATTTTTTAGTTTCAACCCCGCCAACCTGCACGCATGGAATGGAGTAAAGTAAAGTGGAACGTTCCGAAATATTCAGTCCGCATCTTGCTGTGCGGATCTATTTGCTTTTTGCTGAAGGAAGTTTGTTTTTAACTTTATTAAGGAGATGTTTAGCCTCTTATATTATTTATTTTATTTATTTTATTTATGTTATTTATTTTATTTATTTTATTTATTTTATTTATTTTATTTATTTTATTTATTTTATTTATTTTATTTATTTTATTTATTTTATTTATTTTATTTATTTTATTTATTTTATTTATTTTATTTATTTTATTTAGTTTATTTATTTTATTTATTTTATTTATTTTATTTATTTTATTTATTTTATTTATTTTATTTATTTTATTTATTTTATTTATTTTATTTATTTTATTTATTTTATTTATTTTATTTATTTTATTTATTTTATTTATTTTATTTATTTTATTTATTTTATTTATTTTATTTATTTTATTTATTTTATTTATTTTATTTATTTTATTTATTTTATTTATTTTATTTATTTTATTTATTTTATTTATTTTATTTATTTTATTTATTTTATTTATTTTGTTTATTTTATTTATTTTATTTATTATATTTATTATATTTATTTTATTTATTTTATTTATTTTATTTATTTTATTTATTTTATTTATTTTATTTATTTTATTTATTTTATTTATTTTATTTATTTTATTTATTTTATTTATTTTATTTATTTTATTTATTTTATTTATTTTGTTTATTTTGTTTATTTTATTTATTTTATTTATTATATTTATTATATTTATTTTATTTATTTTATTTATTTTATTTATTTTATTTATTTTATTTATTTTATTTATTTTATTTATTTTATTTATTTTATTTATTTTATTTATTTTATTTATTTTATTTATTTTATTTATTTTATTTATTTTATTTATTTTATTTATTTTATTTATTTTATTTATTTTATTTATTTTATTTATTTTATTTATTTTATTTATTTTATTTATATTATTTTTTTTTTATTTTTTTTATTTTATTTTTTTTATTTATTTTATTTATTTTATTTATTTTATTTATTTTATTTATTTTATTTATTTTATTTATTTTATTTATTTTATTTATTTTATTTATTTTATTTATTTTATTTATTTTATTTATTTTATTTATTTTATTTATTTTATTTATTTTATTTATTTTATTTATTTTATTTATTTTATTTATTTTATTTATTTTATTTATTTTATTTATTTTATTTATTTTATTTATTTTATTTATTTTATTTATTTTATTTATTTTATTTATTTTATTTATTTTATTTATTTTATTTATTTTATTTATTTTATTTATTTTATTTATTTTATTTATTTTATTTATTTTATTTATTTTATTTATTTTATTTATTTTATTTATTTTATTTATTTTATTTATTTTATTTATTTTATTTATTTTATTTATTTTATTTATTTTATTTATTTTATTTATTTTATTTATTTTATTTATTTTATTTATTTTATTTATTTTATTTATTTTATTTATTTTATTTATTTTGTTTATTTTATTTATTTTATTTATTATATTTATTATATTTATTTTATTTATTTTATTTATTTTATTTATTTTATTTATTTTATTTATTTTATTTATTTTATTTATTTTATTTATTTTATTTATTTTATTTATTTTATTTATTTTATTTATTTTATTTATTTTATTTATTTTATTTATTTTATTTATTTTATTTATTTTATTTATTTTATTTATTATTATTTATTTTATTTATTATATTTATTATATTTATTTTATTTATTTTATTTATTTTATTTATTTTATTTATTTTATTTATTTTATTTATTTTATTTATTTTATTTATTTTATTTATTTTATTTATTTTATTTATTTTATTTATTTTATTTATTTTATTTATTTTATTTATTTTATTTATTTTATTTATTTTATTTATTTTATTTATTTTATTTATTTTATTTATTTTATTTATTTTATTTATTTTATTTATTTTATTTATTTTATTTATTTTATTTATTTTATTTATTTTATTTATTTTATTTATTTTATTTATTTTATTTATTTTATTTATTTTATTTATTTTATTTATTTTATTTATTTTATTTATTTTATTTATTTTATTTATTTTATTTATTTTATTTATTTTATTTATTTTATTTATTTTATTTATTTTATTTATTTTATTTATTTTATTTATTTTATTTATTTTATTTATTATTATTTATTTTATTTATTTTATTTATTTTATTTATTTTATTTATTTTATTTATTTTATTTATTTTATTTATTATTATTTATTTTATTTATTATATTTATTATATTTATTTTATTTATTTTATTTATTTTATTTATTTTATTTATTTTATTTATTTTATTTATTTTATTTATTTTATTTATTTTATTTATTTTATTTATTTTATTTATTTTATTTATTTTATTTATTTTATTTATTTTATTTATTTTATTTATTTTATTTATTTTATTTATTTTATTTATTTTATTTATTTTATTTATTTTATTTATTTTATTTATTTTATTTATTTTATTTATTTTATTTATTTTATTTATTTTATTTATTTTATTTATTTTATTTATTTTATTTATTTTATTTATTTTATTTATTTTATTTATTTTATTTATTTTATTTATTTTATTTATTTTATTTATTTTATTTATTTTATTTATTTTATTTATTTTATTTATTTTATTTATTTTATTTATTTTATTTATTTTATTTATTTTATTTATTTTATTTATTTTATTTATTTTATTTATTTTATTTATTTTATTTATTATTATTTATTTTATTTATTTTATTTATTTTATTTATTTTATTTATTTTATTTATTTTATTTATTTTATTTATTTTATTTATTTTATTTATTTTATTTATTTTATTTATTTTATTTATTTTATTTATTTTATTTATTTTATTTATTTTATTTATTTTATTTATTTTATTTATTTTATTTATTTTATTTATTTTATTTATTTTATTTATTTTATTTATTTTATTTATTTTATTTATTTTATTTATTTTATTTATTTTATTTATTTTATTTATTTTATTTATTTTATTTATTTTATTTATTTTATTTATTTTATTTATTTTATTTATTTTATTTATTTTATTTATTTTATTTATTTTATTTATTTTATTTATTTTATTTATTTTATTTATTTTATTTATTTTATTTATTTTATTTATTTTATTTATTTTATTTATTTTATTTATTTTATTTATTTTATTTATTTTATTTATTTTATTTATTTTATTTATTTTATTTATTTTATTTATTTTATTTATTTTATTTATTTTATTTATTTTATTTATTTTATTTATTTTATTTATTTTATTTATTTTATTTATTTTATTTATTTTATTTATTTTATTTATTTTATTTATTTTATTTATTTTATTTATTTTATTTATTTTATTTATTTTATTTATTTTATTTATTTTATTTATTTTATTTATTTTATTTATTTTATTTATTTTATTTATTTTATTTATTTTATTTATTTGATTTATTATATTTATTTTATTTATTTTATTTATTTTATTTATTTTATTTATTTTATTTATTTTATTTATTTTATTTATTTTATTTATTTTATTTATTTTATTTATTTTATTTATTTTATTTATTTTATTTATTTTATTTATTTTATTTATTTTATTTATTTTATTTATTTTATTTATTTTATTTATTTTATTTATTTTATTTATTTTATTTATTTTATTTATTTTATTTATTTTATTTATTTTATTTATTTTATTTATTTTTTTTTTATTTTTTTTTTTTATTTTTTTTAGTTATTTTATTTGTTTTATTTATTTTATTTATTTTATTTATTTTATTTATTCTATTTATTTTATTTATTTTATTTATTTTATTTATTTTATTTATTTTATTTATTTTATTTATTTTATTTATTTTATTTATTTTATTTATTTTATTTATTTTATTTATTTTATTTATTTTATTTATTTTATTTATTTTATTTATTTTATTTATTTTATTTATTTTATTTATTTTATTTATTTTATTTATTTTATTTATTTTATTTATTTTATTTATTTTATTTATTTTATTTATTTTATTTATTTTATTTATTTTATTTATTTTATTTATTTTATTTATTTTATTTATTTTATTTATTTTATTTATTTTATTTTTTTATTATTTTTATTTATATTATTTTTTTATTTTTTTTTTATTTATCTCCAATTAGGTCTAATCCCATACGGTACGTGTATTTGTTAATACCGGTTCCTATAGTACGGTCCCTATTAACCGAACTATAGGAATCTTTCTGTAGTCGACACCCTGTTACAGTCGAAATTCAGCTATGTTTTTGTGAAGAGCTTTGAGTGGGTTGGTTTATTTCCTTTAAATTCCGTTATAATTGCTTATCTTTTGACAGATACGCGTATTTCGTCTACTACTTGCAGACTTCATCAGTGCCAAGTACTCAGCTGAGTACTCAGTTGAGTACTTGGCACTGATGAAGTCTGCAAGTAGTAGACGAAATACGCGTATCTGGCAAAAAATAAGCAATTATAACGGAATTTAAAGGAAACCCCACTCAAAGCTCTTCATAAAGGGATTCCGTTAAGAGGTCCGACAAATTTAAAGGATTCAGTTGCTTTTTAATTGGGTCATCTTCCAACCAGCGGCGGCCCAACTAATGATCACCCAACAAGCGAATTTCCGCTGTAGTATATTATTGAATGGAGCAGCAAAATAATCTCGTAGTCCTACGTCAACAATGCGGTCATGCTTTGGACACAACCCTT